TTACTCATGGGGCCAATGTTCTTTCAATCAGTATGAAAGTTCTTCTGGTGCAAAATCTGTTTAAAGATGTTTTAGATTCATTCACTCACACGAAAAATAATCTTGCTGAGAGGAGCACTATGGTTATTAATATTGCTTGGCAATTCCCTATTTCAGATTTTATTAAGGTGAACACAGATGGTGATGCGCGAGGGAATCCTGGTCTTGCTGCTTGTGGGGGAGTTATTCGTAATTCTCAAGGTCTTTGGTTGGGTGGGTTTGCTTTCAAATTGGGTACTTGTTCTTCTTTTAAGGCTGAGCTGTGGGGTGTTTTGTGGGGTTTAGAGATGGCGTGGAATGCTGGGTTCCGCAAAGTTGTGATTGAGAGTGATTCATCTAGTGTGGTCACTGTGCTCACCAGAAGTGGTGCAGCAGTCCGTGAAAATCAGTTGATTTCTCGTATACAAACTTGGTTGGATAGAAGCTGGTCTGTTTTTGTTCAGCACACTTTAAGGAAAGCAAATACTTGTGCAGATTGGTTAGCAAACTTTATTATTGATCATGGTAATCAGGATGACCGATTAGTGTGGGAGGAGCCTCCTCCTGGACTAATCCTGCTTCTTAATGCTGATATGGCGAGTGTGGGAAGACCTCGTGTCTTAGGTTGTAATTCGTAGTTTTTTCCGGTTTTGTTTTTGTTGTTTTGGGGGCTTAGTCCTCCTTTAAGCGAGGCAGAGCAAAGGCCATTGGAAGTGCAGATACTCCAAAACCCCATCCCCAACCCACATTCATTTGTATCCATACTAACACTGAGGAAGCAATCATTGCACCAATATTAATTGAGAAGTAAAACACCAATTAAAGAAAGAGCTCTTCTTTATCCTCTCAGTTTCATGGTTTTCATCAAATTGGAAGATAGTTTTTAGCAAGCAGAACTATCTCGTAAACGACAAAGCTATTAGGGTTGAACGCCTTATAGAACACCACAAGGCAGCTGGAAACTGAAAACATATAATATAAGGTTAGATTGACTCTGCATTGAAACTTAAACATAAAAAGCATCAATAGTAAAATTCGTAAATTAAAAAAAAAAAAGTTGACAAGATTAACTCACAGAATCTATTCTTGGAATCTTATGGGAAACAAACCATCTAAGTACACGCACAAAAGAACTGATTTTTAGAAAATAAAAGAACTAATCTCCAATAAATTTTAGGCACATTTAACTACAGCAACATAACATAAAAATGAAATGGAAGCAAAAATCATAAGTAGAATCTCACTAATCTCTATTAAACTTTCATAGAGGCGCGATACTTCAACTCCACAACTAGTTTCAATCTCAAATTTGAACAAGTTAATAGCTTTCTCAATCTAGACTATTTCAAATATATTCAAAAGGGACTATTGCAAGAAAATGAACCATGAGTAAAACAAAAAAAATAATAATGAAAAAACAAGATAAAAAAATTACCAATTTTAGAAAACAAAATCACAAAATAAAACAAGAACAACCCTTTTGAAAAATGAATTGATTTTCATGATTTTGAGCTCTAACCAGAGTGACCCAGATGGAAGAGAAGGGAGAATAGCAAAGAACAAAACCTGTTGAGGAATACCTAGAGGGGGAACTGGTGTAGGAAACGTGAAGCTCATTGAAACTGTTGGGTCACCACCAAAAGAGAGGTTTGTATTTCTAAAAGGGAAATACAAGCTGAAGATGGGAAATGTAGTGCGGAACTGCTAATGGGATTGCTTCATGAGAATACAACAGAATCTGAATTTGAGAAGCATGATGAAACTATAACTTATAAACCAACTGAAGGAGGGAATGTGATGCAAATGAGAAAACAAGTTCTTCAACAAATGATGGCATAAAAATAAAGACCACTACTAGATGAGGAGGAAGAAGTGCAGTCTAGCGTAAAAAAAAAATTCTTCAAATTTTAGGGAGGGAGGCCGCCCACCCTAGCACCCCCCCTCCCTCCGCCCTTGCTTGTTGACCAACTTAATTCATTTACACCCTTAATTACAAGTAATAATCGTTAATACTATTTATAAACCTACTTCCACTAAATTTGTATCCATAAATCATAAGAATCTCTCGCAGGTACAATTTTGACAACTGTAGAGTGATGCTGGCTGTTTGAGGCTTTGAGGCTTAAATTTCTTTTTTTTCTTTGAGGCTTAAATTTCTTAGTACTAACGTACAGGGATAAAGACGTTCTTTAATTTCCATCACAAATGCGCCTGAAAAGTTGGCGTCGTACTGTTGAGGAAATTTAATGCTAGTCATATCCCATTTTCATATTGGATCGATTATATCGTAGAACTGGTGGAATCCGGTTAGTTTTTATAAAAAATCGATGACTTAACCCGATTTAACAGAAATAAATAAATATGTTTGTTGTTATTAACTGATGTCTTATTTTTTTCACTCTCACGTATAAATAATTTGTTTTTTTTTTTAAATATTTGAGTGATCTATTGTTTATTGACTTACCTAAATTATATACTTACAACATTTACATTATTTTATTTTTTTAAAAAATATTCCAATCGGTTCATTGCTTCGCAACTAATCCGATTCGGGAAGAGTCCAGGATTAAAGCTTTAAAGCTCTCTCAAAGGTAGTACTAGAGAGATTCGAACACATGCTCTCACATCCACCTGCTTAGCTCCCATGCGCCAACCGAGCTACCACCATTTGGTAACATTTATATTATTTTTTTTTTTTTGATAACAACATTTATATTATTTTGGTTATACACTATATATGAAATTTTGATTTGATTTATAATTACAGATGTCGTCTACTGAATCTGAAATATCAGTATCATATATGGTACATGTTTGATTGATTTTTTGTTAGACAATGATGTGAAATTTATTATGAATGATATCATTTTTTTTGAGTATATTCATAATTTTTAATATAAATTATAGATTAATGCAGTTGAACTAGTGACATATTAACTCGATAGGGTCACTGTTTGTAATTTAATAATATTATTACTAGCTGTGTACAAAGAGTCGTTATATTTCTATTTTGTTACCTGAATATTTGTAATTTAATAAATTGACAAATATTTGTCGGTATGATTTTTTCCCACAATATAATGTATTTAAATTTGAATGATTTTCTTTTACACTAATTAAAAAAACTGAATAAAATTACTTTTTTCTTATTCATACTTAATTTTAATAATTTAATATATCTAAACACAGAACGACTTTAATAATTTTATTCTATCATAAATATGTGACATAATTTGATATCTATGTAAGAATCTTTATTATAGAATAACAGACAATTACCTTTTTTCAGGTTAATGCTTATTACGCTTGATATTTATTTTGTTTATATATAACATTACATTTGCATTTCTTATTTATATACTAGTTTTAGATATTGATTTTGAGGAGTAAGATACCTCTTATATTTTAGGGTAAAAGATTTCTCCAGAGTGAATGGAGATAAGTTATCTTCGGTGAGCATAAAACGATATCATTTTGGGGCAAAAATTAAAGTATTTTTGTAATTCTAATATATTGCAGGATTATATTAGTCTTTATCGTTATAGTTTTTTAATCTTATAACCCCAAAACGATGTCATTTTGAGCTCACTAGAGATAACTTTGTTTAATAACTGAAGAAATACTTTTTCCTATATTTTATTACATATATTTTTTTGTAAGTAACAAAGAAAAATAAGTATAATTGTTTTAAACAAATAAAAATGTAATAACCACAAATCATATTTTTCTGAGTAATTACCTTTCCTAATTGTTAATACTTAATACAAATATATAGATCCTAAGCTCGCGGTAAGGATGGCTAGGTTTTCTGTCAAACATTTTTTTTTAGAATAAATACCCTTTTTGGTCCTCAGAAAATTTCACGAGGCCCGTTTTAGTCTCTAGCAAATAAAAAGGTCCATCGTGGTCCCTAAAAAATTTAAATTGGACCCATTTTAGTCCTTTTGAGGACTAATATGGCTCTTTTTTTAATTTGTAAAGGACTACGATTTCAACTAAATGGGTCCTTTTTGAATTTTTGAGGGACCACGATGGACCTTTTTATTTGCTAGGGACTAAAACGGGCCTCGTGAAATTTTCTGAGGACCAAAAATGATATTTACTCTTTTTTTTTATTAAAAATTCGTCAATCGTCGTATACACAATGAGCCAATATGTATTTTATTTTATTTTATTAAAAAAATATTTATTATTTTGAATGATACAATTTTGTATTATTTTAAATAAAATGCCCATGTTTTGATGTATATTTATTGGTTAGTTTGTCTTTCTCTCTCCTCAATTTTACATATATAGGAAAAAGAATGTAAAAAGCCAAAAAATAAAATAAAATACTAATATGATCCTTTCATTTAAAATAACACAAAATTCTATCCTTAAAATGATAAATCGTATATTTTCCCCCCACCAATATGACATGTCTTGAGCACCTTCAACCTGAAAAATAAAAATAAAAATAAAATTAACCAATATGCATGAATAGTCCAATCAAGTTATTCTGAACGAATATGGAAACCTATATAAGTGTGAATATTGGTGCTCAAAATTAAGTACGGATCAGGAAAAGTTTACTTGCATCTAGGGTGAAGAAAAAATATCACAATTTTAGTTTATCAAAATTTTCTAGTGTAAAGTCTGTGTAGTAAATTCAGTATCTCAGAGAAAGGATAGGTGTGTATTTTTCGGTGTTGAATATATACTGTACTTATCGATAGTGACGGAAGAGAGGATTGGGGAATTAAGTCTACATGTATGGTTGACTAGTTTTGGAAACCCATTTCTCCCAGTTTTCATTTTCTGAAGTTCTGGGTTAAACTCCTTCTTACCACAATTATAACTTGTGGATTGGATTGTCAAAATGGAAAGAGCCCTTTTTTACTTTATGAAAGCTTAAACAGTATCCAGAGAGTTAGTTTCACGGTTATAAATACTGAGTGCATGAGAGAGGTTATTAAGCAGCATTCCAAAGCACCATAGATACAATGCAAACTTTGGCTAGAGACCTAAATAACATGAGGGAGTATTATGAGAGTGGAAAGACAAAAAAAGCTTCTTGGAGAGAATCGCAACTCAAAGGGTTGCGTCGTTTCCTCATGGAAAAAGAGGAAGATATCTTGAAGGCCCTCATGCAAGATATAGGGAAACACCAAATTGAAGCTTTTAGAGACGAGGTACCTGTGACATATTTTTGGTGTTTCTGCAGAGTCACTTAAATCAATGTTTTCCTTAAGCAGTATTTAGAAGAATGATTAAATATACTTTTTTTTTTTTTTTAGATTATCAAGATATTAAATATTTACTAATAAAAACTAGTAAATATTATCTTATTAGTCCTATGTTTCGTGGGACATTTGTAGCAGATAGCATAGGCATATATTTATTATGATTTATTTTTTTAGCCAGGCTACGATGTTGGAGGAATATAAACTAATCTCTTGTGAAATTTCTTATTACTTGATCCGTTCTGGCAGGTAGGAACGTTGATGAAGTCCTTAAATACCGCATTGAGGTTTCTGAAAGATTGGATATCAGGGAAAAAGGTAAGATCTGTGTGTCTGTGGTCCTTCAAAATACTGAATACTAATTAAGTTGTTATAACTTAACCATCATAATTCATTTGATGAAACTAAGAGCATACACATGAAGTGACTAACGGCTAAATTTATTTTGATAGGCTAAATTGCCACAAATAGCATTGCTTAGTAGTGCAGAAATTGTTCCCGAGCCTCTGGGTCTTGTCCTCATTCTTTCTTCTTGGAATTTCCCCTTTGGTGGGTTATACTTTTTTATTATTTTTTTCTAGTTAATTAAAAGATAGATGTCTTCAAGGGGCAAATATATGAACCAGCATCCTCTGAATTAACAAAAACACAGGACTTTCCTTGGAGCCTCTGATAGGAGCAGTAGCTGCCGGAAACGCAGTAATCTTAAAGCCTTCAGAGTTGTCTCCTTCATGTTCTTCTCTACTTGCCACTGGTCTCGCCACTTATTTGGACGATAAAGCCATTAAGGTTATCCAAGGAGGACCACATGAGTCTGAGCAACTACTACAACAACGATGGGACAAAATATTCTTCACAGGTAAACAGAATCAGTTTTTTCTCTTCTTCTTCTTCTTTCATGTTTTGACGCTATATAATTGTCATAGTCATTGATGAAGATTTTGTGAATGTAAAAACTAATACCAGGAAGTGCACGTGTGGGGAGGATTGTGATGTCTGCAGCTGCGAAGCATCTGACTCCTGTCACTATGGAGTTGGGTGGAAAATGCCCTGCAGTCGTTGATTCCCTTTCATCTTCTTGGGATATAGAGGTGGGTTCACTCATTCTTGGCACATTGCACCAAAATCTCTTAACTAAAATGAAAGACATGATGAATTGAGGTTGAAAAGAATCAATTCCAACTCTATATTAATGATTTTATATATGTCTAACAAATCTCTTCACAAAATAGTCTATTGGGCTAATGATGAATAATATATCATATGCATAACATCTAGCTTATCTGTACTGAAAAATTTCATAAAGAAAATAGAGGATGACGATGATCGAGCTCGTAACTATTTGGTCACAGAGAATCTGATAATACGTAAATAATTAATTTAACCTAAAAACTTAAACTAACCGGTGAAGTTATATTTATGGGTTAAAGTTTAAAGTTTCTTATGTTACGTAAAAATGTCAAATCATTTCTGCACAAACATGATAACATGGGTCCCATGAAAGTTTAAAAAAGAAAAAGAAAAAAAAAGGTTGAAAGCCACGTTTTTTCTATCTGCAGGAACAGATTGAATTCTTATGTTGAATTTCAATCCCCTATATTTGGGAGTAGATCTTCTCATGTAAAAAAGTGGTCATGTGATCATGTTATTTGATCACCACTACTTATTTAAAAATTATACATTTTTTTTTCTCTTATCTCATCATCAATAAGTGGTTATGATCAAATAACATGATCACATGATTACTTTTTCACACAAGACAATTCACTCCCCCTGTATTTATTGTGTTATATATATCTATCATACCTAACCCACGAGTTCATTTAGTTTATTAGTTGATTATTAATTTCAATTTACAATGTCACGCTTCCCTGTAATAAAAAGGCGGCTGTGAAGCGGATTATGGTGGGGAAATATGGGACTTGTGCCGGTCAAGCATGCATAGCAATCGATTATGTCCTTGTGGAAAAGGGATACTGTTCAACAGTGGTATATCTCTTAAAATTGAAGTTATCAGTTTCACTGTTTCTTGATATTATATATATTTAACTAGGGGCGTGTGCTTACTCTTGGTTTCTTTTAGGTACAATTAATGAAGGTCTGGATCAAGAAAATGTTTGGAGAGAACCCAAAGCATTCCAACACTATTGCGAGGATAGTTAATAAACATCACTTCTTTAGATTGAAGAATCTTCTTGCTGATCAAGAGGTCAATAAATCTGCTGTTTATGGTGGCTCAATGGACGAAGAAAACTTGTAACTAACACGCCGCCGCCCTTTTCACTCATTTGTTGCTAGCATAATATTCCTATTTTCATTATATTTAGTGGCGCATGGATTTTGCCGCATTAATTGCATGACATTATACCCCACTTGACTCTTTCACTTTTAAGAAAGCACAGACAGTACTAGATTTACATGGCAAAAAATAAAAAAAAGTCATGTGCTCAACTCTGTTTCAGATTTATTGAGCCGACAATCCTGGTGAATCCCCCACTTGAAGCAGCAATCATGGCAGAGGAAATATTTGGCCCATTGCTTCCAATTATTACTGTAAGATTCTTGCATGGACATGTGACATTAAAATTTCAATATTTTTCTTAGTAGCACTCCATAAAATAGCTAACTACTTCTCTGAGTTAGCTTATAGAGAATAAAATTTTAGTACGCGACGCTATTATTATAAGTACGTATTTCAAAGAATATTTAATTATAATATTAAAGTTATTTTTTCTTTTCATATTAGTTGACAAATTTTTGAAAAGAGAAAAAAAAAAACCTTTAATATTATAAGGGATTAGTTATTCTGTCTACTCTTATTTTGCCTACCTTTGCCTACCTCTTTTAACATCGTTAGATTATAATCTCATCTAACGGTGGAGATTTGCATAATAAAATAAACTCTTCTTATCTTTCTTTCTCCTCACTGTCTCCCACACTCTTTCTCTCTGCTCCCCTTTCTTTCTATTGATTTGCGTAATTTACAACCTGAATTTATATTTGAATCTAAATTCATACAATGATTAATGGCATGATAGTTCTGTTGATGAGTATAATTTCTAATTTTTTTTTTAAATCTAATATAATTGAACACGGCAGAAACCACAAAATTACAAAAAAAAAAACGAAAACCATGAATAACCCTTCATTTGAATTAGTCCACGATTATCGTAATGTTTCTACTTTTCTGTTTAAATTTGAAACGAATCAACTTATCTCCTCTTTTTTATCTTGTTTTTTCAACTTGGGAGTGGGGAAAAGATCCATGTTCTTTCTATAGTACGCCCAACAACAAGCCTACCTGGTTCCATAACATAGGGCATCTGGATTTATTTCTTCTTGACACCCAATTTTAATTTTTTATGTAAATGCTCATAACAATGATTGAGTTGGATGAATTAGAAAAAAAGCTTGCACTTTTTTTTATGCTGAAGCACCATTGAAGAAAGAGAAAGGGCTAAAAGAATTTATTTTATATCGTAGATCTTCACCTTAGATGAAATTATAATCTAATGATATTGAAAGAGATAGGCAAAGATAGACAAAATAAGAGTAGACAGAATAACCTATCCCATATTATAATTATATACTCCCCATAATACATAATTATAATATTACCGTACCACTTAATACTAAGTTTTATTAACTTAAAGCGTAACACATGCTTTATTTAGTTTCCCACATTTTAAATTATATATATATATATATATATATATATATATATATATATATATATATATAAATATAGTTATTTATTTCCTCTAACTCCCACTATGTGTTCCCACTTTTTTTTTCATGTTAATAATTTGCAGCTGGAGAAGATTGAGGACAGTATTAAATTCATAAGTTCTAGGCCTAAGCCTCTTGCCATTTATGCTTTCACCAAAAACAAAACACTGCAGAGAAGAATGGTATCTGAAACATCTTCTGGCAGCTTGACTTTCAACGATGCAATTATACAGGTAGTACCCTGTCTAGTATCTACTGCTAATCTTTTTTACATACTTTATATACTTACTGTTTATCTTTGTTCTGTGCAGTATGTAGCGGATTCTCTCCCATTTGGAGGAGTTGGTGAAAGTGGGTTTGGCATGTACCATGGGAAGTTCTCCTTTGACACATTCAGCCACCATAAGGCGATTGCCAGAAGAAGTTTCCTCACTGATTTTTGGTATAGGTATCCTCCATGGACACTCAATAAGTTTCAACTACTTGAGGTCTCTTACAACCTTGATTATCTTGGATTGCTCCTTGTCCTTTTGGGCTTAAAGAGACCTTCACAACGCAGATCTTATTTTGCTAGCTCGTGACAATATGGCAATATTTAATTCTTGTATTTTCTTACTATTATGAGTGCATCCAATAAGCATAGATCTATGCATATATCTGCAAGTGATATGTATTTATACGAGTGCATCCACATCGCTGGATTTAATATTTATTGTGATATGAATTAGTCAAGTGGTACTCAAGCACTGAGTTGCAATACTTGCATTAGCCCAAATAAAATTATATTCTTCACAAAGGATAATAATAAGCAACTTTTAACTCAACAACTAAGCAGTCTTTGTAATATATGTTTGATTCAGAAAATGGTACATACAGGAAGGACCAGTTAACTTGAAATTAATTAGTTTTAACTCAGAATCGTAAGAAACATATAAAAAAGAAGAGAAAAGTGTGTCTATTTTAAAGGATGTAAAATTGTGTCATTTTAAGAGAGAGAAAGAGATAAATCATGGGAGAGAGAGAGTGGAAAAAAAAATAAAGATGCGGTCTTATTTCTTTGTGAGAGTAAAATAACACAAGTTGTGTCATTTAGAAGGACAGACACTTTTTCCCAAAAAAGAATTCAAAACTAATGTGAATAGAAGTAATAATAATATATAAAAAAAATAGTTGCTTACCAAAAAATATATATATATATATATATATATATAAAATAGTAGTACTAGATTTCTTGAAATTAAAATGAATGCTAAAATTGAAGAGATTTTATTCGATTAAGACTAACGTATATATGCAAAACCTGGCTTTTTGACCATTGTAGTCCTCATGTTATAATTAATTACCAAATTGATCTTGATTATAAATTATTTCAAAAATTTAACCTTCCCAGAAAACATAACACCAATCTGCCCCTGTTTGACCGTTGACCACCAAGCCTATCCGGGTATCACCCTCTCTACCGGGTATATTTTGAAATTTTTTACCTATCTGGATAGGGAGGGAGATACCTGGGTATATTTTTTGAATCTGAAAAAATGTTTGAATTATTTATCCGGGTAGGGAGGGTGCTACCCGAGTAAATAATCATACCTTTAGGGGCCGTTTGGTACACGGATTTTTTTTCGGATTCCTGGGAAACTGAATTTTTTTAAATTTTAAATTTTCAGATATTATCGTAAACTGAATGTAAAAATCATATTTTTGAAAATCGAGATTTCTGGACAAATAAAAATTTCTCCTGTACCAAAGCTCCCTTAAGTATTTTGCGTATGGGTTCTGCTTCTATTGCTCTCGTATGAACATGTTTCATTTTGTACTTTCAGATTGTTGAGCCATTCACAGCTCATTATGTATTTGCTCTGGGTGTCGCAAGATTCTTGAGCTGTGCTCATTGGGTTCTTCAGGTCTGTTCATAAAAACTTGTAATTGCTTTAGTCAGTTATGTGGTTCATTTGCAAATTTGGTGGTCACTTGTTTTCTGGCATGGTGCGCTCTCACATTTAAATTAACTTAATCAGGCATTATGGTCGGTTACCCTTGTTAGAGTACATTGTGTGTTGACACACTTGTTTGGTTCCTTGGTGGAAGCTGGTTCCGTGTATAGTTGGAAAAAGTCTTTATTTACTTATTGACAAAAAAAAGTATATTAGTTTCTTAGGCTATTGGAATTCAGTTCTTGTTATAACTTTTAACTTATTCACGTGCTCTCAAGTTCTGCGGAAAGTTTTAGATAACATTTGGTGCGGAAATAGAAAAAGAGAGAGAGAGAATGAAATAGGACGAATGGAACAAAAATGTTTCGTTCTTATCTCCTTGGTTTTAAATAGAACAAAATAGAATGGAACATCCTTACTGATCTACGGAAATGGTTGCATTCAGTTTCAGAATTCTCTCTTTTTGAGGCCATCCTAGGTTTTAATTTCTAGTGCAGATGGCAACATAAAAGAAAGTAAAACAAAGAGCAGAGCCATATGTGGGTGCCATATGTGTGTCTGCTCGGTTTTAATTCCTAGGCCTTCCTGGATTATTTACCTGGATAGCATCCTCTCTATCCGGGTAAATAATTCAAACGTTTTCTCAGATTCAAGAAATATATCCGGATATCTCCTTCCATATCCGGATAGGTAAAAAATTTCAAAATATACTCGGGTAGAGAGTGTCATACCCGGGTAAGCTTGGTGGTCAACGGTCAAACAAGGGCGGCAAATTGGTGTTATGTTTTCTGGAGAGGTTAAATTTTTAAAATAATTTATAATCAAGGTCAATTTAATAATTAATTATTACATAAGGGCTACAATGGTTAAAAAGCCGCAAAACCTTGATGTTATTTCGAACTCACAAACACTGAATCCCATAAATGAATTTCCTTTGCTTCAGCTGCTAGCTGACTTCATGCACGTGTAAGCACTGTCTGGTTTCTTTTCATGGTTCTCCTCCATTTCATCAAATGAAAGAAGTGAGAAAAAACAATGAGAAGTATAATATAACCACAACATGACAATTGTTAATCCGCCTAAAGTTATTAAAATGCCTTGCTTTCTAATCAAAATTATTGAACAAATGAATTGTAGAAAGTGATGCAAAAGAGTTCCTCAAGTTTTGAGTGTTCATATATTCTTCTCATTTGGTGATGCGCAAATGGTGTAGCGATAACTCATATGGTTTATGTTGTAATAAAACTAAACAAAGTCACTAGGAATAGGACCGCACTAGTGATAATCGGCTTAATTATGCATGGGATATAGATTCAAAGCTCAATGTTATCATTGTATAAAAAAATAATAAATAATATATTATCATTGTATAAAAAAATAAAAAAATAAGTATCCAGACAGGACAGAATGATAAATTCATCAACCAACCGTATTGATTATTCCAGAAAAAAAAAACGTACCAATGACTGAAATTTGCAGCCACAAAAGCTTATGGTAGATAAAATGTGTTCGTATTATTTACCCAAAAAAAAGGGACTTCTCATGTTGCACGAGAAGTATTTTTTTATGTGATGATCTTTCGATTTGCGTGTAATTTTTTTTTTGATAAGTGTAGAGCTCACTATTAATTTTGTCACAACATAAGAAAACAATTCTAAAGTAACAGAGAAAATCAAAGTTCAAATAAAAACGTGGTTGTATTTTGGTCTTTGAAACTTGAAACGTACACATGTGGCTTCTTATATGGTGATCCTTTGATTCGCGTGCAAAGCTTTTTTTAATAAATATAAGGCTCACTACTAATTGAGTCACAACATGAAAAAATAATTTTAAAACAACATGAGAAAATCAAACTCCAAATAAAAACATGATCGTATTTTGGTCTTTGAAACTTGAAACGTAAACATGTGGCTTGCTATAGTTGCTAGTAAAAAAAGACCCAAATTAAATTCAAATTCACAAGAAATTGTTGGAAGATGTCAAACGACCCAACGCATTTACAACTAGTATATAGGTTAAATTTAATCTCATCATTAATTAAATTGATAAATTTAATTTAAATTTTTACAAAAATTTCTTAGAGTTATCAATATTTACAATTTAACCTGCTTACGAATTAATGGAGCAACTACAAAAACAATAACCTATATTTAGGCTTCTAAACAATGTAGAAAATAAACCTTGCTTGCACGGCCAATTATTCGGTGTCACTAGAGGTGGCAAAGTGTGCGGCCCGCCCCGCCCTGCCTCACCTCGCCCTGCCTCACCCCGCGCATCAACCCGCCCCGCCCCGCCCCGCTTTTGAAAGTGGACTGAAAAACTCAGCCCGCCCCGCTCCATTTGATGGGTTGGCCCGCCAGCCCGAACCTATTTTACACTGACCTGCCTCGGTCCGCCTATGTCCGTCATTAACTCGTCAAAAAATGAGCTCACCCCACCTCGCCCCGCTTTTGAGATGGATTGAAAAACTCAGCCCGCCTCACCCCATTTGACGGGTTAGGTGAGTTAGCCCGCCGAGCCCAGCCCGTTTTGCCAGCTCTAAGGTGTCACCAATAATAACCAAAACTGTAACTAGGGAGATCTGAATTTTGAGGGAGAGAGAGAGAGAGGATATCACTTCAAACATGCCTCATTCGTTCATTACGCGTGACATATATCAGTCACAATCTGGAAGGTAACACCCAATAGGCCTTTTAATAAAAGGAAATTACATTCATTACTAAAAGGACTAAACTGACTTAGTAGGCGTTTGTTAGAGGAGAATTTTTTTTTTTATCTGAGAATCTCAATTTTAAAAAATATAATTTTTAAATTCATTTTATGATAATATCCAAAAATTAAAATTTTAAAAAAATTTAATTTTCCGAAAATTTTGAAAAATACCTCGTACCAAACGCCCCTTAAAGTATTCCTAGCCCACTGTGTAATCGTAGCAAACTCCTCCTGTCTCTTAGCCCAATACCGGTTGGAATGTTGGAGCCCGTTTCAAAAACAGTCTCTCACGATGAAACCCGAGCAGTGATATCATAATTTAACTCTTTAACTCAACTTGCAAAAATAGATAATTAAATCAGGGTGATCAGTTGCACTATTTAGATATTAATCCGAAAAGAAATTAAAAAAATAAAATATAATTAAATATAATTTGGATTTGTATAGTTCTCACTATTTACTCACTAATATCCTGCACCGACAAAATGTAACTCAAAGATAATTTCTGACCAATTATTTTACTTGACGTCGAACAACTCATATGGTTTATGTTGAAATGTAACTAAATAAGGCACTAGCAGTAGCAGTGGGCTACTGGCTACTGAGTTTGAGTACTTTGCATAATTTTATTTTCTATATACAGACATAAAAAAATATAAAATTTCTGTTTTTTTTTCTTTTTTTTTTACATAATTCCATATGAATTTCATATTTTTTTTTTATATGTATAGAAAATAATTCTATTTCTAAAAAATATTAATCCCATTATTGAAACTCAATTAACGTTTGCAGTCACGAAAGCTCATGGTAGATAAAATGTGGTCGTATTTTGGTCCTTGAAAGTTGAAACGTACACGCGTGGCTTGCCAGTTGCTAGTGAAAAATAACCAAAAGTTTAAATTCACAAGATACTGTTGGAAGATAATATTCTCATT